AGTCATACATTTACGATTTAGCTATTATCGCAAATATAAGCAATATAAAATTAAATGAAAAGATAATATACATTACATATATACATAATAATTGTAACCCATTCAGGGGTTGCAACACCCCCCACCTCGAGTACCCTCCAGGTGTACTGTATTTAATCTGCAGGAGTTTGTCATGGAACAGCAGAATTACAGTACTCTTTCCCTCCAATTTTTATAATATCCTGGAGTTTTACCTGGAGAGAGTTCCGGGGGTCAACGCCCCCGCGGCCCGGTCTGAGACCAGGCCTCCTGGTGGATCAGAGCCTGATCAACCAGGCTGTTGCTGCTGGCTGCACGCAAACCAACATACGAGCCACAGCCCGGCTGATCCGGAACTGACTTTAGGTGCTTGTCCAGTGCCAGCTTGAAGACTGCCAGGGGTCTGTTGGTAATCCCCCTTATGTGTGCTGGGAGGCAGTTGAACAGTCTCGGGCCCCTGACACTTATTGTATGGTCTCTTAACGTGCTAGTGACACCCCTGCTTTTCATTGGGGGGATGGTGCATCGTCTGCCAAGTCTTTTGCTTTCGTAGTGAGTGATTTTCGTGTGCAAGTTCGGTACTAGTCTCTCTAGGATTTTCCAGGTGTATATAATCATGTATCTCTCCCTCCTGCGTTCCAGGGAATACAGGTTTAGGAACCTCAAGCGCTCCCAATAATTGAGGTGTTTTATCTCCGTTATGCGCGCCGTGAAAGTTCTCTGTACATTTTCTAGGTCGGCAATTTCACCTGCCTTGAAAGGTGCTGTTAGTGTGCAGCAATATTCCAGCCTAGATAGAACAAGTGACCTGAAGAGTGTCATCATGGGCTTGGCCTCCCTAGTTTTGAAGGTTCTCATTATCCATCCTGTCATTTTTCTAGCAGATGCGATTGATACAATGTTATGGTCCTTGAAGGTGAGATCCTCCGACATGATCACTCCCAAGTCTTTGACGTTGGTGTTTCGCTCTATTTTGTGGCCAGAATTTGTTTTGTACTCTGATGAAGATTTAATTTCCTCATGTTTACCATATCTGAGTAATTGAAATTTCTCATCGTTGAACTTCATATTGTTTTCTGCAGCCCACTGAAAGATTTGGTTGATGTCTGCCTGGAGCTTTGCAGTGTCTGCAATGGAAGACACTGTCATGCAGATTCGGGTGTCATCTGCAAAGGAAGACACGGTGCTGTGGCTGACATCCTTGTCTATGTCGGATATAAGGATGAGGAACAAGATGGGAGCGAGTACTGTGCCTTGTGGAACAGAGCTTTTCACCGTAGCTGCCTCGGACTTTACTCTGTTGACGACTACTCTGTGTTCTGTTAGTGAGGAAATTATAGATCCATCGACTGACTTTTCCTGTTATTCCTTTAGCACGCATTTTGTGCGCTATTACGCCATGGTCACACTTGTCGAAGGCTTTTGCAAAGTCTGTATATATTACATCTGCATTCTTTTTGTCTTCTAGTGCATTTAGGACCTTGTCGTAGTGGTCCAATAATTGAGACAGACAGGAGCGACCTGTTCTAAACCCATGTTGCCCTGGGTTGTGTAACTGATGGGTTTCTAGATGTGTGGTGATCTTGCTTCTTAGGACCCTTTCAAAGATTTTTATGATATGGGATGTTAGTGCTATTGGTCTGTAGTTCTTTGCTGTTGCTTTACTGCCCCCTTTGTGGAGTGGGGCTATGTCTGTTGTTTTTAGTAACTGTGGGACGACCCCCGTGTCCATGCTCCCTCTCCATAGGATGGAAAAGGCTCGTGATAGGGGCTTCTTGCAGTTCTTGATGAACACAGAGTTCCATGAGTCTGGCCCTGGGGCAGAGTGCATGGGCATGTCATTTATCGCCTGTTCGAAGTCATTTGGCGTCAGGATAACATCGGATAGGCTTGTGTTAATCAAATTTTGTGGCTCTCTCATAAAAAATTCATTTTGATCTTCGACTCTCAGTCTGGTTAGCGGCTTGCTAAAAACTGAGTCATATTGGGACTTGAGTAGCTCACTCATTTCCTTGCTGTCATCTGTGTAGGACCCATCTTGTTTAAGTAGGGGCCCAATACTGGACGTTGTTCTCGATTTTGATTTGGCATAGGAGAAGAAATACTTTGGGTTTCTTTCGATTTCATTTATGGCTTTTAGTTCTTCCCACGATTCCTGACTCCTAAAGGATTCTTTTAGCTTAAGTTCGATGCTTGCTATTTCTCTGACCAGTGTCTCCCTACGCATTTCAGATATATTGACCTCTTTTAGCCGCTCTGTTATTCTTTTCCGTCGCCTGTAAAGGGAGCGCCTGTCTCTTTCTGTTTTACATCTACTCCTCCTTTTTCTTAGAGGAATAAGCCTTGTGCATACATCGAGTGCCACCGAGTTAATCTGTTCTAGGCATAAGTTGGGGTCTGTGTTGCTTAGTATATCTTCCCAGCTTATATCGGTTAGGACTTGGTTTACTTGGTCCCACTTTGTTTTTGTTATTGAAGTTGAATTTGGTGAATGCTCCCTTGTGACTAATCTCATTATGTCGGTCTGGGGCTCCGCGCATACATGACTGAACCTCAATTATGTTGTGATCTGAGTATATTGTTTTTGATATGGTGATATTTCTTATCAGATCATCATTGTTAGTGAAGATGAGGTCTAGTGTATTCTCCAGTCTAGTAGGCTTTATTATTTGCTGGTTTAAATTGAATTTTGTGCAGAGATTTAAAAGCTCGCGTGAGTGTGAGTTTTCATCAGAGCTGCCTCCTGGTGTTATTACTGCAACAATATTATTTGCTATATTCCTCCATTTTAGGTGCCTTAAGTTGAAATCCCCCAGGAGCAAGATGTTGGGTGCAGGAGCTGGAAGGTTTTCCAGACAGTGGTCAATTTTTAACAGCTGTTCCTGGAATTGCTGGGATGTTGCATCCGGAGGCTTGTAGACTATCACAATGACTAGGTTTTGGTTCTCGACCTTTACTGCTAAAACTTCCACTACATCATTTGAGGCATTTAGCAGTTCTGTGCAAACAAGTGACTCTGCAATGTACAGGCCAACCCCCCCCTTTTGCCTGTTCACTCTGTCACATCTGTATAGGTTGTAACCTGGGATCCATATTTCGTTGTCCAAGTGATCCTTTATGTGGGTCTCAGTGAAAGCCGCGAACATTGCCTTTGCCTCTGCAAGCAGTCCACGGATGAAAGGTATTTTGTTATTTGTTGCTGGCTTTAGACCCTGTATATTTGCAAAGAAGAATGTTATCGGACTGGTGGTATTGTTGGTACTGGGGGGGGATTTTTTTTCCGGCATTAGTATCTGTATCTGTTGGTTTGGAGTGGAGGCCATCGACTGTGGTTCCACTCCAGGAATGACTGGATTTGGTGTACGATTTCTGCCATTTCCTGCCAGTTTTTTTTCCTTCCTGGCACTAAAAAACCTCTCCCTCTTGAGTGGCTGTGGCTACCCAGGTTTTCCCATGGCCTGGATGTTTTGTATCTTTTTGTCCCCTTTAGATGGTATGCCTGGCAATTTAAGTTATAGCACAGTCTTTCCTGTACTGAAGAGGTACACAGTTCAGGGTGAAAAAGCTTACAGGAAGGGAGTTTGCATTTTCCTGTTGTCATATGGGCATGGCATTTCCTAGGGTGGTCATAGTTGCACGTCCCATCTGTTTTTCCAGATTTCCCATGCCAGCAGATACCGAGTGCATAGTATGTGCACAGGCTTGGTTTCCGTTTGCCTTGGGTTTCTGTGACTGTATTCCCTGTTGGTGCATGTTTCCCTGTCTTACTTCTATCCTCCCTAGCACCAACAATGGAGCTCCCACCAGTTGTTTTTGGTAATATATCCTCACTATTGCTAGTTGAGTCCTCTTGTTTGCTATTTCCTGCGGTATTTCTAGTTTGCAATATTGGTTTTATCTTATCTTTGACTACACTTGTTTCCCTACTATGGCTCCTGTCCCCTATGAGGTCATTTATATGTATTCCTTCCTGCGTATAATTCCCGACTACCTGGACAAAATCTCCAGCTTCACCATTACTGTCTCCCAGGATACTATCCAGAAGGAGAACGTAGAATATAACTTTGGTATAACTGTGTCTAGCATTAGGAATAATATTAGGAGAGAAGTAAATAATGAAGATGATTGTTATAGGAATGCAGTTAGAAGCCTGAGTAGATCTATAACCCACTATGATAACATGAACGTAGATAAGTATGTTTATGGAGCAACTTGCAATGTGAACAGACTGACTGATGTTGTAGTGGCCAGGCTTAGGCTTGGTTACAAGTACTTCTGGCAGTTTGGGAGACACACAGATGATGATCAAACTAAATGTAAATTATGTGATCAGGCATATGGTCACTGTCTTGAACACTATGTGCTTAATTGTCCACTTATTGAGGAATACAGAGACAGACAGTATAATAACCTATGTGACATGTCAAGATATCTTATTAATGAAAATAAGATACCAGATATACTAAGCAAATTTCCTAAATTTGCTTGTAACAGATAAGTGAACTATAGATATGTAGATATAAATCCATATGTATTCCTGTTAACCCTTTGGGGCCTAGTTCCTAGGCCTTTTGTGTATCCACATGCTCTCGCGCTACCGTCCACAGGATGGATATGGGGTGCACAATAAACTAGCCACTTCGGTGGCAAAATCTAATCTGTCTCCCAGGACAGCATCTCCAGCTTCCCCATTACTGTCTCCCAGGACAGCACCTCCAGCTTCACCATTACTGTCTCCCAGGACAGCACCTCCAGCTTCCCCATTACTGTCTCCCAGGACAGCACTATCAGCCCCCCATTTACTGACTACCAGGACATCATCTCCAGCCTTACAGTTTCTGACTACATGGCCAGTATCAAGGGCAATACCATTCAGCCCGGACTTTTTATGTTCCCATCCAGTTCTATAGTTTTTCAAAATAATAAAATAATGTATTTAAACACAAATGATGTTCAGATTATCACTGTTACTATGCCACCAGATCTTCATCAACAATGAGTTCCATAAATCATCGAGTGGGAAGCAGTTTCCAACAGTCAATCCTTCAACAGGGGAGGTCATCACCATGGTGGAGGAAGGTGACAAGGTAAGTACAGCAGATATTTATCTGTCTGGAAACATATCGTTGCACTATTGTGGTACATGTAGTTTTATCTACTGCTTTTATCTCTTGGTGAACTCAGGGTGAACACTGTATTGAAGCAAAGACCATCATCAGAAGAGTACTGTGTAACCAATGGGAAATACTGTAGTGGGGGATGTAATTGTAAGTGCTTGCAAATGGGTCTTCATCCAAGGAATTGGAGTCGCCCTTCTCTTCATGGGTTAATTCTGATTGCCTACTATTACACAGGCACTATAAGACCCCTAAGAGTATAGCACTCCCTGATGAGTGTAATAGTAATTATAAGGTCTAGATGGTTAGATTCAGTACTATATAAATATTCTTGCCTAACTCACGAAATCGTAATGACACGATTGCAAGCAAACTATACCACGGGCGGGGATAGAACCTGCGATCAGAGTCTCTTGAGACTCTCTGATCGTGGGTTCTATCCCCGCCTGTGGTATGATTCTTACGTGTTAATCAACTTGGTACATATATCACTTCAATCATGCAAGGTATGAGTTTTTATGAGATTGGCACAACTGTGACTTGAGCTAAATCAATGTACCAGATCATGAAACTAGTACTGTACTGTATGCGTAATTTCCCGAGACCTCTAGCATGTTGACTGTAATTAGCTTAGAATGACAGAAACCAGGAAACTCTTGCGACAAAATTCCCATTTAGATATATTTTTCCCCTGAAATCCAGTGTGATTCTAATGTAGTTTTGAAGCTACAGGTAATACGTGTCCAAATTAAAATTTACTGCATCAAGATATTAATCATGGAGGTGGGAAGTAGAGTGCCTCCACTCTATAGGGATGGTGTGGCGATGTTGCAGTACAGATAGTCATCTGAACTGTGATGTCAGCATGCTTCTGGCAAGACAGTAATTGAGTGAATGATGGTGAAAGTGTTTCTTCTATTTTGGGTCACTCTTCCTCACTGGGAGATGGCCAGCATTAAAAAAATGAAAGATAATGTACAGGTATTGACAAAGGGATAGGACAATTCCCAATAAATTATTAATCAAAGGGAGGCAGATTGTGTATGAAGCAAAATATAACCCAAAAAATGGAGGATAGATCATGTACTGGGTCTATTACATTTGTAACTAACCCATAAAATTTGTTATTCACTATAATAAGTTTAACTGTATGATTAACACTTGAATTACCCACATACATATACTGTATAACTGTCAGGGGAAAATCTGTGTATTATTAATGCTCTACTAAATATAAATATACAGGTCTCTTCAACATTCGCGAGGGTTAGGGGATCAAGAGCCTCGCGAATGTTGAAAAATCGTGAATGTTTGGTGCCCCAATATATTGTAGGGAATTATAATACTTCTTCCTTAACTTGTTGAGCCATGAACAATCATAAAATACATGAAAACGTCGTAAATTGTACTAAATACATACATGTTATGGTTTAATAACATATATATTATTAAATACCACTGCCTCCACTTCCTCGACCACTGTGAGTCCCTACTACCCTCCCTCCGACCCCCTGAACTGGCAGCCAGCCCTCCCACCAGTGTGGTGAGTGTTTTGTTTGTTCATTATTTGCTATTAAACTACAGTATAAATAATGTAAACCCATTCATGACTGCATATTGGAATGGCTATTCGGACAGGTATTGGACGGTGACATCATGTGTTTACTCTTGAACACAGCAAAGAATCAAACATTTCTGCTACTGCTAATAATAACAGTAGTAGTAGTAGTAGTAATAATAATAATATAATAATAATAATAAATACGATAGAATTGAAGAAGGAAATTGTACAGAAATACGAGGGAGTGGTTGACACATCGTCAGTGTGGCTTTGTTTATGCTGGAGTGAGCATTAATATCTGTGCTCTTCCAAACATTTCACAATAATTCATTGTGTTTGGTGCTTGTAGATTGGCAGCCTCAACCACTGCCTCAACCACTGCCTCTACCACTGCCTCTACCACTCCAGTCGCACTCAATCTACAAGCACCAAACACAATGAATTATTGTGAAATGTTTGGAAGAGCACAGATATTAATGCTCACTCCAGCATAAACAGCCACACTGACGATGTGTCAACCACTCCCTCGTATTTTTGTACAATTTCCTTCTTCAATTCTATTGTATTTATTATTATTATAATTTATTATTATTATTATTATTAGCATTATTACTACTACTACTACTATTGTTATTAGCAGTAGCAGAAATGTTTGATTCTTTGCTGTGTTCAAGAGTAAACACATGATGTCACCGTCCAATACCTGTCCAAATAGCCATTCCAATATGCAGTCATGAATGGGTTTACATTATTTATACTGTAGTTTAATAGCAAATAATGAACAAACAAAACACTCGCCACACTGGTGGGAGGGCTGGCTGCCAGTTGCGGGGGTTGGAGGGAGGGTAGTAGGGACTCGCAGGTGGCGGGAAACTTAAATGTGATTTGGCGGCTGGGAATTTGGAGGCTGGGAATTTGGCAGTTGGTAATTCGCGAATGTGTGAAGCCCGCGAAAGTTGAAAACGTGAATGTTGAGGGAGACCTGTAATGGCACTTGGCTAATTTAGTCATTGACTACTTGGAGATGTGTAGCTGATTTGTGTAACTACCCTGTTATAAAAAGATCATTTCTCTTGGGGATGAAAGCTGCTACTTTGAAGTTTTTACAGATCATACTTGACTTGGTAAATTGTTGTACAAAGAAGAGTGTCTGCATTGAATTATTAGTCAAATTATATTGAGGAAGAAATATGCCACCCTAGATATGGAATATGGCAAATGATACTTCATTTTATCAAAATTATGTATCTGCAGAACATTGTCAGCCTACATCAGCATCCTGATGTTCTGCTGATGCTTACTTGATAATTATTAAATTTTTGAAATTCCCCTCAATAAATTGAAAGGTAAAAATCTGTCAAATGGAATAGCATGTGAGAGGAGTCGTGGTCAAATATACATGTATTGTAATTTCATTTACAAATGTTCTTAAAGATGTTAGGTTGATGGCATCAGAATTCTGATGTTTCATTGATCTGATTAAGGGTTTTTATGGATATCACGCTAGCCTTTACCCAGGGGTCTAACTTGATACAGCCTCTTCTCACTTAGTGATGTACTCGTTTATCGACAACTCGTACTTACAATGGGCTCTGACCAGTATGCATACCTATATAATGTATATTAGAGCTGATTTCCTCTATTCTGTTTATCACAATATACATGTACAGTACACTTCTGTATAAACATTTAAAAATATACCAGAAATGTTATAAATGGTGCGAAGGTGACATTAAAACATCAGAGATGGTTGACACAAACCCAATACCATTATACGTAGTATGCTCCTCGCTTAGTGACGAATTCGTTTACCGACGTGGTCTTAGGAACGAAATTCCATCGTTAAGTGAGGAGAGGCTGTATTTGTCATGTAAACATTTACCCTGGGTATGCTCCTTCCTGGTAACACATTCCTGGCATTAAAGCTATTATTTTTTTTAGGTAGTGTTGTGTACTAATTAAAGTACTACTAATAAATACTGTGAACACTAATTTGCTTAAAACCACAGGCTGATGTTGAAAAAGCAGTGAGAGCAGCTCGTCAAGCTTTTGAACTTAACTCTGAATGGCGGCAGATGGATGCATATGATCGTGGGCGCCTCATAAATCGGTTGGCTGATCTTGTAGAGCGTGACAAAGTTTATCTAGCTGTAAGTGAAGTTTACATTTAAATAAATGGTACTGTCATTTATAATATAGTATGTTACACAGTACAGTACTGTATCACAAGATTTGTCCACATTTTTATAAATTAGTTTAACTATACATACTAATATTTTTATGAAAAAATTAATAACCAAAGCATTTTAATTTTCCAGAGCCTCGAGACCCTTGATAATGGAAAACCATACACAAATTCTATCATGGTAGATGTTGAACTTGCTGTTAGAAATCTACGCTACTTTGCTGGTTGGGCCGATAAGATTCATGGCCAGACCATTCCCACTGATGGTCCACACTTTGCTTACACGAGGCATGAACCAATTGGTGTTTGTGGTCAGATCATTCCCTGGAACTTCCCTCTTCTCATGCAGGCTTGGAAGTTTGGACCTGCTCTTGCTACAGGTATATAGTAATGTAAACATAAAAAATTTACAGGAAAATTTATTTTTGTTCACCGTTTATGCTTGGATTTGTCCTCGATTTTATCACTTTTGGAAACTAAAATATTTTAGGTTATGGTAAATATATTGAAGGAATAGAACTTGCACAGTATTATGAAAAGCTAAAATAATTCAAGTACTGCATTAGCATTTCAGTCAGTGGTGTAGAATAATTGTGTAAAATACGACAGCAATACTTGGGTCATGGACACTACACCTACCATCCGACTTATGACCTGTTCGACGTACGTCCACTCGACTTACGACCGTGTGTCTGGCAGCCGGGCTGCCAAATGCATGGTCAGACTCTGCAGTATAATGTGAGCCTTTATTAACAATGTTTCGCCCACACAAGTAGAGGAAGTAGTTATACATGTGGTGGAAATATCAGCTGGTACATGAGAAGGAAAGGTTACAAAAGCTATGGCTTGGGTAGCATAAAAAATAGGTAGTGCAAATGTATGTGGATGGATGGATTTGAGAAGGCATGGCCAGTTTGGGACAACAGGCCTGCTACAGTGTTCGTTCTTTTATGTTCTTACGTAATAGAGAAGGGACACTGAAACATGCCTTCTCAAATCCATCCATATAAGAACAAAAGGAAAGAGGAACACTGCAATGGGCTTGCTGGCCCATACTAGGCAGGTCCTTCACAAATCCAACCCACTAACAGAACAAATGCTACCCAAGCAATAAGCTCAGGTGCAAGTCCCGCTCAAATCCAACTCCTATCACTCGAGTAATTCCCCCCCCCCCCCCCAACAAGTCGGCCGTCTCCCACCGAGGCAGGGTGACCCAAAAAAAAAAAGAAAGAAAATCCCCAAAAAGAAAATACTTTCATCATCATTCAACACTTTCACCACACTCGCACATTATCACTGTTTTTGCAGAGGTGCTCAGAATACAACAGTTTAGAAGCATACACATATAAAGATACACAACATATCCCTCCAAACTGCCAATATCCCAAACCCCTCCTTTAAAGTGCAGGCATTGTAATTCCCATTTCCAGGACTCAAGTCCGACTATATGAAAATAACAGGTTTCCCTGAATCCCTTCACTAAATATTATCCTGCTCACACTCCAACAGATCGTCAGGTCCCAAGTACCATTCGTCTCCATTCACTCCTATCTAACACGCTCACGCACGCTTGCTGGAAGTCCAAGCCCCTTGCCCACAAAACCTCCTTTACCCCCTCTCTCCAACCCTTTCGAGGACGACCCCTACCCCGCCTTCCTTCCCCTATAGATTTATATGCTTTCCATGTCATTCTACTTTGATCCATTCTCTCTAAATGACCAAACCACCTCAACCCCTCTTCTGCCCTCTGACTAATACTTTTATTAACTCCACACCTTTTCCTAATTTCCACACTCTGAATTTTCTGCATAATATTTACACCACACATTGCCCTTAAACAGGACATCTCCACTGCCTCCAACCGTCTCCTCGCTGCTGCATTTACCACCCAAGCTTCACACCCATATAAGAGTGTTGGTACTACTAAATACTCAAGTATTTATCCAACCTAAATTTGAAACTACCCAAGCCTTAGCTTTTATAACCTTTCTTTCTCTTGTAGCAGCTGCAAATGTTCTATGTGGAAAAAGACACTTGTGTACAGTTCAGGACATTTATTAAAGGAAACGTTTTGCCATGAGTGGCTTCTTCAGTCCTAATACAGAGAAAACTAAGAAAACGCGTATATATAGTGGCAGGAGCCAGGTAAAGTGTCGTGTAGGTAGAGGTGGTGGTAACAGCAGTAGTAGTTCCACTACTACTACCACCTCTGAACCAAGATTCCATGATGGAATCTTGATTCAGAGGACACCTACAAGACCTTCACGGCTACTACAACTAACCCATTCCTTTGGGTAGGACCTACTTCCACTGGGGAATCCCGCCTACCAGTGACTGACCTCGTCTGCTACATGTCCCTATCCACTGACGCCTATATAACTGCCAGTCTCCTTGCCTTTGCTCCAGTTTCACCACCATGATGATGTGAACACTAACCCCAAGGCTGAGGGACTGATTACTTCATCTTTTGTATATAGTTCTACTGTCTTCTAATTATGTCCTAGAATCTGTATTGATAAAGCCACTGAATGGCGAAGCGTCTACAATAAAGATATGCAGATGTTGCTCATGTCTTAACTTTCATAGGCCATTAGGCCTGCTGCAGTGTTCCTCCTTTCTTATGTTCTTATTAATGCTGAAGAAGAGTCCAATGACAAGCTGCCTTTTCTATAAGGGACACTGAAACATGCCTTTTTAAATCTATCCATATACATTTGCCCAACCTATTTTTTATGCTACCCAAGCCATATCTTTTGTAACCTACCTTTCTCATGTACCTGCTGACATTTCCACCACATGTATAACTACTACTACTACCCAGTACATCGGCAATCTTCTAAGGTTTGACTTATGTCCATTTTGACTTGCAACCAGTTGGTCGGGACCAAGCTCGGCCGTAAGCCGAGTGGTAGGTGTACTATATTTTGTAACTTTTTAATACGTTGCCTGTTTCCCACCGAAGTAGGGTGACTCAAAAAGAAAGAAAAAAAACTTTAATGTTGCAGTTTAAAAACTGTAGTGTAAAGCACCCTTCTGGCAAGACAGTGATGGAGTGAATGATGGTGAAAGTTTTTCTTTTTCAGGCCACCCTGCCTTGGTGGGAATTGGCCGGTGTGATAATAAAAAAAATAAAAAAAAATACTTTCACCATCACTCATACATAATCACTCTTTGCAGAGGTGCTCGGATATGAGTTTATATGTCCCTCCAAACTGCCAATATCCCAAACCCCTCCTTTAAAGTGCAGGCATTGTACTTCCCATTTCCAGGACTCAAGTCCGGCTAACTGGTTTCCCTGACTCCCTTCACAAAATATTACCCTGGTTACACTCCAACAGCCCATCGGGTTCCAAAAAACCATTTGTCTCCATTCACTCCTATCTAACACGCTTTCTGGAAGTCCAAGCCCCTCGCCCACAAAACCTCCTTTACCCCCTCCCTCCAACCTTTTTGAGTATGACCCCTGCCTCGCCTTCCTTCCCCTACAAATTTATACGCTCTCCAAGTCATTCTACCATGTTTTGGAATTCTTTTTTCAACGCACTTGTCGTATCCCACTGAGGCAGAGTGGCCCAAAAGGAAAAACGAAAGTTTCTCCTTTTACATTTAGTAATACATGTATATACAGGAGAAGGGGTTACTAGCCCCTTGCTCCTTGGCATTTTGGTCACCTCTTGCAATACTCATGGCTTACAGATAAAATATCTAGCCTTTATTATATGCTGTAATGTATTACAAGTTGTGTAAAGACTAGTTCTTGAAGCAGGTAATAATCTGCCGTTATATTTTAATGATATTCCTTTTCCCCGGGATGGATAATACAAGTTATTATTCCTAGGCAACACCATTGTCATGAAATTAGCCGAACAGACTCCCCTGACTGGCTTGTATGTGGCCAAACTGGTAGCAGAGGCTGGATTCCCAGCGGGTGTGGTAAATGTTATTCCTGGATATGGTCCCAGTGCTGGGGCAGCCATTGCTTCACACATGGATGTTGACAAGGTTGCATTCACAGGGTCAACAGAGGTTAGTACAATATACACTCCTTATCATATTACAGCCACCGGGGTAATTTTTTTTTTTTTTTATGCATGTTGAGAAAGACGAATTTTGCATTTAGTAGGTAGTCACTACGACAGACTAAAGTGGTATATGTAAGAATTTGGTGTAGAAAAAAATAAAAATCTGAGTCAAGATTTTTTTTACTATAAATCAGTTGTACACATAACTGCTCTGTAAACATGAATAATAGGTTCTAATATACAATACATTCATTCCCTCTCAAGAAAAAACATGCATTGCTTTTCTGCTGAGCTAGACTAATTTTCACCAGATATTAAATATCAGATGTATGGTATGGTTAATATTTTGCCAGATGCACAGTATATTAAGGAATGGGCTGTGAGAGATGTTTGTTGCATTAAATTTTTAGTGACTTAAGAAATCGTAATGACACGATTGCAAACAAACCATACCCCCGGCTGGGATTGAACCCGCGGTCATAGTCTCAAAACTCCAGCCCATCGCGTTAGCCACTAGACCAGCTAGCCACAATAAGATTCATCCAACTAGGTATATTTCTACCTAGTTGTGGCTAGCTGGTCTAGTGGCTAACGCGACGGGCTGGAGTTTTGAGACTATGACCTCGGGTTCAATCCCGGCCGGGGGTATGGTAAATTTTTAGTTTATGAAGATTAAAACCTTTTGACTGCAGAGCATTTTTAATAGTAATGCGTGAAGTGTAAGATAAGTGGATAAGTCCACTACTTCAAATTACCATCCAGTAAGCCTGACATCTATAGTGTGCAAGTTATTAGAATCAGTTATAGCTGACATTATTAGAAGTCACCTTGAGCATAATTTGATTAGTGAATCTCGGTATGGGTTTGCGAGAGGTCGTTCCTGCCTGACAAATTTACTCACGTTCTTCAATAGAATATTTGAGGCAGTAGACAGTGATAAAGACTATGATATTGTTTATTTGGATTTTAGTAAAGCCTTTGATAAAGTACCTCACAAGAGACTCTAAGAAAAGTGGCAGCTCATGGTATAGGAGGTAAAGTTCTAGCATGGATAGAGGCATGGCTTACCAATAGAAAGCAAGAGTTTCTATTAATGGGGTCAAATCTGAATGGGGATTAGTCACTAGTGGCACTCCACAAGGATCAGTTTTAGGCCCTCTCTTGTTCATAATTTACATTAATGACCATGATGAAAGGATTACGAGTGACATGAGTAAATTTGCTGATGATACAAAGATAGGTCATAAAATACATTGAGGAGGATAGCGGTGAACTCCAGGAGGATTTGGACTAATTAGCCCTTTCAGGGTTTCGGCCGTACTAGTACGGCTTACGTGCAGGGGTTTTTGACGTACTAGTACGCATAAATTCTAGCGCCGTCAAATCTCGCGGGAAAAGGCTGGTAGGCCTAGATGTGAGAGAATGGGTCTGTGTGGTGGGTGTGCGCAGTAGGAAAAAAATCTGGGACCCAGTGGTGCATTGTGGGAACACCATCTTTGTAAAGAATACCCACCATGCCTCGCGGTAAGAAGTTCCTCACTCCTCGGCGAATTGGGACACTTTTGTTCCCCAGTGACAGTTCTAATACAGATGGAAGTGCCAGTGAAGATGAGTTTCAAGGTTTTGGTGAGGTTTTAACCGGAACTAATGACCATAATATCGGTAATAGTGAGGAAAACCCAAACGACCCTCAGCCTTCCACCTCTGGTGCTGGGCCGTCTTGTTCACATTCAGTTGTACCAGAATCAAAGAGGAAACTCCTATTTTCTTAAATCCCAGACTCAGATGTGAGCATTTGTGATGATAGTGAATATGAACTACAAGCTCTTGAAACTAGTTCCAGTAGTGATAGTGAAGTGCAATATTCCCAAGTGAAGCGTCAGTATATACGACGATATATGCGCTCTGGTAGTGTGCCATATGCTATTCCAAGGGGAAGGAGTACATCTCGGAGTACATCCCATGGCTGTACAACAGGAACAGTGAAAATGATGATAGTGTTGCAATTGGGATGGAAAATGTGCATTGTGGTGGTAGTGGTGGTGCCGGCCGTGAGGCACCAGCAGTGGGCCATGCTGCCACCCACGCTGCCACCCACGCCGCTGCCTCAGCTGAACTACAACAAAGGCCACCATCCCCCACCCACCCACCACACCAGCCTCCACAACCTCCACAACCACAACCACCTGTCATTGTCCAGTACTCACCAGCAGACCGCACCTGGGATTGGCAGGAAGCTGTCAGTTTTGTTCCAAATCCCCACCAGTTTGATGACAGCCAAAGTGGAATACGGCCATCCTGTACACTCGGGAACAATGCCAGTGAACTGGAATGTTTCGAGTTATTCTTTGACGAACCCCTGATGGAAAGTATTGTCATGGAGAGCAACACATACTACGAGTACACCATGGCAAACACGATACTTTCACCAAAATCACATCTTCACCAGTGGAAGGAGACAACTGTGGCTGAGATGTATTTTTTTCTTTGCCACAATAATGCTTATGCCACATGTGTATAAGCAGTGTGAAATACTGGTCAACAGACCGCCTGACTGCAACCCCAGGTTTCAGTGATATAATGCCAGTGAATCAATTTGTGCTAATGTTACGTATGCTTCACTTCTCAGACAAAACCAGACCTGACAGGAGCGACAGGTTATATAAGATTAGGCATGTGCTTGTGTATCTGAAAGAGAAATTCAGTATGTATTTTTATCCCTTCAGGAAGCTTGTAATTGATGAGTCTTTGATTCTGTTCAAAGGAAGACTCTCAAGCAGTACATACCAAGCAAGAGGAAACTCTTTGGTATAAAGTTGTTTGTGCTTTGTGATTGTTACAGTGGTCTGGTATTGGATATTGTGTACACTGGAAGTTATACATTGCAAAATACCAGGAAGTTATTGGGCATCTCTGGTGATGTGGTTAGAACAATGATGGAACCATATCTTGGTAAGGGGCATATATTATATACAGATAACTGGTACACAAGCCTCACACTCGGTGATTTTTTGCGAGTGAACATGACAGATGTGTGTGGCACAGTGCGTGCAAATCGGAAACATATGCCCAGGTTTGACACTGGCACTCGTAGAGGTGAGGTGCAGGCATTTGCTGCCAATGACATCATGGCATTTCGGTGGCATGACAAACGAGATGTCACACTGTCGTCATCAGTTCACCCTAATGAAATGGCAGACACTGGCAGGCAGCATAGAGAAAGCAATGAACCCATTCTAAAACCTGCAGCTGTGATGGATTACACCCTCAATATGCGTTCAGTGGACAAATATGACATTCAGATTGGGTTTGCTGATTGTGTTCGCAGATTGTGTTCGCAGATTGTGTTCGCAGATTGTGTTCGCAGATTGTGTTCGCAGATTGTGTTCGCAGATTGTGTTCGCAGATTGTGTTCGCAGATTGTGTTCGCAGATTGTGTTCGCAGATTGTGTTCGCAGATTGTGTTCGCAGATTGTGTTCGCAGATTGTGTTCGCAGATTGTGTTCGCAGATTGTGTTCGCAGATTGTGTTCGCAAGAGTTATAAGCGGTACATAAAACTCTTTTTCCATATTCTGGACATTTCCATGCTGAATGCTTATAATATGTATAAGACGAGGACCAGAAACAAACCACCATACGGCGAATTCTGTTTGTCATCAGACAAATAGTATTCAAGTACCAAGGAACAGCACCTGCAATAGACCGCCCACCAAATTTTCAACAACTTCCTTCTCGTTTGAAGCATGGTGATCACTTCCTGGTAAAACTGCCTGCTACTGCTTTCAAGAAGGCTCAAAAGAGGTGTTACGTCTGTGCACATACAAGAAAACGCCCACGACAACGCAGAGACGCTCGTTTTATGTGTGAAGAATGTAAAACACCACTGTGCATGACACCATGTTTCAAAGACTTCCACAGGCTGCAGAACTAGAAACATTCCCTGTGACTGTATATGTGTATATAAAATATAGAAAAATAGTAATAAACAACATTTCATATTGTTTGTTTGGGCAAATATTTTTTGTAAACAAAACAATGACAACAGTGTTTATGCCCTTATTGTGTAGTATTGAAAAAGAAATAACTTACAAAATACTGATCATACTGGTCTCACAGGCCATAAAAGTTACTTGGAAAAAGAAAAATTAAAAAATAATAGAAATTAGTACATAAGAAAGTAAATAAAAGAATACCGGGTGACGGAAGTCGGCGATGTAGCCACATGGTGCCCCTTTTTCATCAACTTCACACCTCCATATCTCTGTAAGTATTGATAAAAAATTTTTGTTTAGCCTATAATGTTCAGTAAAATAAACTATTTTTCATAAGATTTTTTTTTTTTTTTTTTTTTTTTAAATTTGGCCGACCCTGAGAACAAGTCTCTGACAGGGCCTGTCGACCCTGAAAGGGTTAGTCTTTGTCTGAAAAATGGCAGATGAAGTTCAATGTGGATAAGTGTAAGGTACTAGTCCTTGGTAATGAAAATAACCCTCGAAGCTATAAACTAGGTGAAGTAGAGCTTGATCATACAGAATGTGAAAAAGACTTGGGAGTCATGGTAAGCAGAAATCTAAAGCCAAGACAGCAGTGCCTTAGTGTGAGCAACAAGGCTAACAGATTACTAGGATTTATCTCTAGAAGTATAAGTAACAGAAGTCCAAAAGTTATTTTGCAGCTCTATACATCACTAGTGAGGCCTCATTTAGATTATGCCGCTCAGTTTTGGTCTTGCTACAGGATGGATATAGACTCATTGGAGAACATACAGAGAAGAATGACTAAAATGATTTACTGTGTAAGGAATCTCCTGTATGAAAATAGACTTAAAGCCTTAAATCTCCCCACTCTGGAGAGACGTAGAATGAGGGGAGATAGCGTTAAGTGTATAAGTGGATGACAGGCGTAAACAAAGGAGATAATAATAAAGTACTGAGGGTGTCGAACCAGGTGAGAACCAGAAATGATGGATTTAAGTTGGATAAATTTAGATTTAGAAAGGACAT